TTTTTTTTTTTTGGCTTCGGCGCGGCAGGGGGTGCGTACTCAAAATTTTTTTACTGATAGTGGTGCACGATCAAAAAAGTTTGGAGACCACTGGGTTAGAATGCTGCCAAACCTGGGCTCCAGATCAGAAACTTTGAGTACCTGATTTGTACTTACTCATGTTTTGGGGGGAAGGGAAATCCTGCTTGGAAGTTTGAAATGCTAGAAGATACTCAGCAGCGACAGATTAATGACTAATATGCAGATGAGATCAAAGAGAGTTTATTCTGAGGTGCCTGGCATACTTTTTTGGTTTCTTTAAGAAAAATATTAATAAATAAGCAGAATCTGACAGAAGGTTTTGGTCAGGAATTTCAAGATAATTAGCCTATTTTTAACTTTGATAAATATATTCCAGGATAAGCCAGTCACAGAAGTACAGATAATCTTATGGGACTTGGTCTTTCAGCACATGCATAAATATGCTTCTTATTTTAATGTCACTGGTTTAATATTGACAATATTATTTCAGTTAGATAACTGTGGGATTTTTTTGTTAACTGAAATAAAATACCATGAACAAACATTGAAGTCTAGCTCTAGAATTGAGAATCAACTATTGGTTGAACATCAAGGGTATGTCTACACAGCAAAGAAAAAACGATGGCCTGTGCCAGCTGACTCTGATTCAAGAGGCTCGGGCTGCAGGGCTATTGCATTGCTCTGTAGACTTCCAGGCTCGAGCCCTAGGATCCTGCGAGGTGGGAGGGTCCCAGAGCTCGGACTACAGCCCAAGCCCAGAAGTCTACACAGCAATGGAGATAGCCCTGCAGCCGACCTGTGAGCCCAAGTCAGCTAGCACAGGCCAGGCACAGGTTTTTCTTTGCTGTGTAGACATATAGTTGATTCTCAATTCTAGAGCTAGACTTCAATATGTTTGTTCATGGTATTTTATTTCAGTTAAGATGTGAACCTCTCACAGAGGGATTAACTAATACTGAAGAAACAGAAAGTTAATATACTCTGATACACAGAAATCTGTCAGTTTGCCCGTTAAGTGTGAAATTTTATCCTATGTTTATGAAGTTATATTCTCCACCTTGAAATTGTTACATGTATCAAACTCAAGCTTTTTAATTAATACTAATGCACTGTTACAATAACTGCTTAAATGATTACATAATTAATTTATACTAAACAAAGTATATCTCACTCTGTTCTTGGTTTATTTTAAATTTTTTCAGGACCAGACTTGGAGTTCAGTATGCATGATGGGACAATTAGAGATCTTGCTTTTATGGAAGGCCCAGAAAGTGGTGGCGCTATTTTAATTAGCGCTGGAGCAGGAGACTGTAATATTTACACAACAGACTGCCAGCGAGGTCAAGGCCTGCATGCTCTGAGTGGCCATACTGGTATGTTTATAAAAATGCAACAATAACAATCTGTTCTATGCACTGGTAACAACGGTGACCCAATCATGCTCTTCTTATGGACTGCACCTCTGTCCTATCAACAGTGAGCTCAGGAGAGATTTTATTTCATTAATCTAGACCGTTACATATTTTAAGCCCTTTGTCTCCCTGCAAATGCTAGGGAAGATGTAGAGCAGGGTGTTGCCATTGTACTGGTGGCACTTCTTCAGTCCATGCCACATTGCAACCTTTCCCAAGAGATGCATATATGTGGAGTAACAGATAATAAATTGAGACCTACAGAAATCTGCTAACAAAGGCTCTCTGAAGAGAGCAAGTTGATTACCTCCAACCCTCTGATCTATCCAAGACTACTACTTTCTTCAAACCAAAATATAACATTTAATCTACTAATTGTATGCTGATGATGATCCTACTTAATGTGTAAGTGCATATTCAGAACAATAATATGCAGAGAATTCAGTAGTGATCTTTAAAGAATGAGTAATACTAGTAAAGTAAAACATGTTCTTATCTACAGGTCATATTTTAGCACTTTATACATGGAGTGGGTGGATGATTGCATCTGGTTCCCAAGACAAGACTGTAAGATTCTGGGATCTTAGAGTACCGAGTTGTGTTCGTGTAGTTGGAACAACATTTCATGGAACTGGTAACACTATTGCTCTTTTCGCACCGAATAAAAAAGTTCTTGCACAATTACATATTTTAAAGATTGTTCTTGTCATTGGTTTGTTGAGAACAGGGATCTTGCATTGTAAAATGAAGACTTCTGGCTTGTTCAAAACAATCCCCAGTTACTCATTTTAAAAAAACAACAAAAACTTGGTATATCCATTCAAAAGCTGGTTAGTTCTTTGCTTTGTGACCTTTTGATGTTAATAGCTATTTATATAGCACTATAAGCTTACATGATGCTCTAAAACAGAGAAAATGTACAACCTTACCCAAAAAAATCAACACTTTAGACTGACAAACTGCCTTACAAAGAATGACACTCTTTGTAACTGATTTTTTTTTTTTATTGATAACAAATGTAAACATGGTGGCTATAAGGAATATTAGGCTGTTAAAAACATCAACCTTGGAGTTAAATATGGCTGTTGGAATTTGGCAAATCTGCTGTTGTGTAAACGACATAGGACACTACCTAGCAAGTGATGTCCTCATATAGTTAATGAAACACTTCCAAACTGATGCAGCTCAAGTCAGAAAATAAAAACATGTTTTCTCAAACTCCAAAATGCAAATGCACAAAGGATGGTGTTTGTCTAAACTACAGATGTACAGTATTCTACACAAGAAGTATTTTGAAAAAAGTGAGTCAGGTACAGAACTTGTTTTCAAAATAATCTCTTTATTGCCAATATATTTATAAATCCATTATTCTGCTATGGATTCTAACTATGCAGAAAATTAAAAGCCCGCCAACACTCTTGGATATTCCCTTTTTCTGTGATGAAACATTGAACAGATACTCCTAATCTCTTTCCACTGTTAAACACAATTCTCTGATGCAGCTTTAACTGTGACTTTGCTACCACTCCATGATTAGAAATCAGCATATGCTACAAGGCAAACTATAAAATGGGGGCAATACGACATAAGACTTGTCTTTTAATATAGACAAAATGAGTTGAAAGTACATTTAACTTGGCTAGATATGTTCTTTACCTTTTTAATATTAACGGTTCTACAAACATCTCTCAAACCTTTCTATATTCAAAAGAAGGCAGAACATATCCATAAGTCTATATTAGTTTATGGACGGCATTTTCTTCTTATAGGTAGTGCTGTGGCATCTGTTGCAGTTGATCCTAGTGGTCGCCTACTAGCTACAGGGCAAGAAGACTCCAGTTGCATGTTGTATGATATTCGAGGCGGACGAATGGTACAGAGCTATCATCCTCATTCCAGTGATGTTCGTTCTGTTCGCTTCTCTCCTGGGGCTCACTACTTGCTCACAGGATCTTATGATATGAAAATAAAGGTGACAGACTTGCAAGGTAATTCATCTGATGTGAAGTGTATTAAGCAAAACTGAGCAGTGAAGTGTGTTTTGTTAATATCAGAGGTTGTAAGAAAGTTTGGATCAAAAGAGATTCATTTCTGAAAATGTAGAAATCTGAAATCTATTAAGGCTATAAAGTGAAATTTAAAAGGTTTAGAATACACATGACTATGGTTCTTGTCAGCTCACAACAGATTGCTCTTATTACAGTCAAGATTATAGTCTGACATATAAATATGATTAAGGAATATAATTGCAGTATGGGAAACAACTTGCAGCTGTTTAATGACTGGACTTCTGCTTTGAGGTGGTGTGCAGAAAACTCAAACCCACAAAGAAAAATGTATGCTTGGCTTACCTTTTCTGGGGGAGGAAGGGATTAGTCAAAAGGAAGAAATTGAACAAGTCCTCCAATCAACCTGATTTTTATGGACCATTAATTTGTATTTAAACTTTAGTTTATGAATACCAGTGTTGCAAACAGTTGTATGGTACCTAACACAATGGAGTCCCAACCTGGTTGGCCTCTAGGCACTGCTACAGTATAAATGTTAAATAATTCTTTATAGCAGTCAGTTATATTGATTATAGAATTTGAAAGGAAGACTGTCATGGGCCTTCCAAAATAGACTTTTTCCCCTTTAATGTGAATGAAAGGGTTTGTGTGCATTCTTCCTGTAACAATATTCTTTAGGTACCTTTAAGTTATCATCTAATGAAGTAACTTGTTATTTAGCAGGTGAAATAGATATGTAGAGTTTATTCAAGAAAATTATTTTAAGTGTTCACAAAACAAGTAATTATTTCTATTCCTCTCTCCTAGGGGACCTTACTAAGCAACTTCCTATTATGGTGGTAGGGGAACATAAGGACAAAGTGATTCAGTGTAGGTGGCATACGCAAGATCTATCCTTCTTGTCATCTTCTGCAGACAGAACTGTAACACTTTGGACCTACAATGGTTAGAGTGCAACTAAGGCAACGTATGCAGATAAAGCACAGAGAAATAAGACTACTGGACTGTAAAAATAATAATTTAGGGATTCAAAGAGCAGCATCTGACCAGGAGAGTGTCTTAGCAAGAAGAGGCACTTGTCACAGATTTTTCTGACTGCTAGGAGGTCTTGGTGTGTTAGTATTATTTTGCAGTGCTTTCAGTCTTCCATGTGAACTCTTGCTGCTGTGACCTATTGTAGTCTTGTTGCCAAAGTCTGTTGGAAGAGCTCTTATGTTGTCAATGTGCACTCAAAGTAAGATTAATGATGTGTTTACAGTTTAGTATTAATTGCATTCCTTGGTCTTTGCCTCAATGACAATTTTATATAGAAACTTAAACCGAATTACACTTTTAAACAACTCAGTAACTAGTTCCACATAAATGTAGAAGATAAAAATTTACTTCTGCTGTTTCACACTTCTATTGTATGCATCACTTGTCAACCAGAGGTCAGACTTTTTTTTTTTCCCTTTCCACACTTTCAACATTTTTTTTTTTTTTTTAGTACGTATAATTGTAAAATTTTAAAGGTGACTAGGCAGTAACTGCTTCTTGATGATAGTCCACTATATAGTGTGTTTTGCTTTTCACCTAAACTGGGGGAAATGTTGCTGTTTTTACTACATGATATTGTTTTCAACAGGCTGATGTTGAAAACAAAAAGTAAAATGTTGGGTTTGCTCCAGAAACCATGTAATGTTTCATTCTGAATGCAACAGAATACCTCTGTGTATAATGTACTGTAGAAAAGAGTGTGGATTGGCAGCAGTTATCACAGTGAGCTAAATGGCTAGCTGTTCTCTCAAAGAAAAATGGTACCATTAACACTTATAGACAACAGCATGGCTTAAAATGCTGTCTGCATGATAATTTAAAAAATTAAATCATTTAACTTCCCAGTCTAGAAGCATTTTTGGATTTTTCTTTCTTGCACTGTTTATGTAATGCAGAATTGCTGTTTTATTTCTATGAAACTTTAGATTCTAATGTTTAAGTATTGTTATATTTTCATATTGTACAGTTCCTTTTAAATTAAAACCTTAAATTTTAGGTTATTTATTTATTTGAAATGCAGTTATTTGGTTTTAATAATTAAATTATCGGTTCACTGTAGCAAGCATTTTTTAACTAATTGTATAAAAGTGAAAAGATTATTATGGAAGTGTATCTCTGCTATAATCTCAATAAAGACCTCTGACACCTGAAAGCACAACTACTACTTATTTCACTATCTCTTAGTCTGGTCTCTTTTATACTACTTTTATAAATCTCCACGTTTCAACTCTAGGTTTACATGTTATTAAAAGATGATGAAGACTTTATACCGTCCATATCCTCTTTAGTAGCTGATTTAGCAGAGCTACTGTATAGAAGCCTGTTCTTGTTCTACATATAGACCCCCCAATACAATTTTGAAGTTAAGTCTGAGTTTTAGTTCTTCTGTCCTGTCTTGTTTCCATACATATAGCTGGTTGATGATCTATGGTCTCAGTCACACAATATTGTTACACACTGATTGCATGTTAATTCTATTGCAGGGAAATTGCTAGATCTTATTCAAAATTTGAGCATCTTATTTCAACTGAATTCCTGACTACCACAAAACTTCGGTTTCTCTTCCATTTCTGTGTCCTAATCACTGCTTCCCTGTTGTGATTTGTGTTAACATGCAGCTATACAAATTCTGATTTTTAACAGTTGAGAGATTCCAAGGTTATCCTCTGTGTGCTCTTCAGACCACCTAACCATGCATCTGAGAATACCCAAACAACATATTGGGGAAATTTCCCCCCAAAATGGTGTCTTGTCCGCAGCTTCACACAGCACCTTTAAACCACTGAGTGTGAGGAAAATAATTTGGAATACACCCATCAAAGAGGTAGAAAATGTGAGGAGATCCTCAGCTGGTAAATTGCCATAGCTCCATCTATCCTGTAGGTGTGCTACCCCTCCCTTTGATATGATGACTGTGTGTTGCTTTTTGGTGAGGCCTTATTCACAGCTCCATTATCATTTGGAAAATGTAACTTGATATTATTTGTTTTGCTTTATTGACTCTTCTGATCAGCTTTATTCTTACCACTTTAAGAGTTTAGTGCTGTTTCTCACCAGTCAGCAAGAGTCCAACATCCAAATGTAGTAACTTTTATTTGAGATGAAGATTTTTCACCTGTGTACTTCATTCTAGACTCAGCTCAACTTTGTCTCTTGCACTGTTGTATCATACCAAGTTATGACTTTATATGGTACTTTATTATTAGAAAGAAAATTTTTATATGACAAAAAGAGATTCATTTATTTTACCAGTACCTGTTTAATGGTCAGAGCACGCATAAAGCACAATGTAATATGAGAGAAAATAGACAAGTTTTATCACAATCTACCATAAAGTACTTGCCAAATTATTAGAAAGGGTAAAACATTCTAATCAGTTATTTGGATACAAGATAAACCATACAAAAACCTGCAAGTTGTCACAGTAGGCGGGAAGGTCTGGGAGAAGAGAATTACATCACTCCAGGACTAGCTACACAACCTTTCAACTTTACTGATTTTAAAATCCACCTGAGATTGGTAGAAACATTCAGCTGCTTGTCCAGGGGTCTTTGTAAAATTAGTCTGCTCTCAGTCCAGCTGACAGTAGTTATGCTGCAAACCACTGTAATGGCACCCTTGCTGTTAGCTTCAGCAGGGAGGCAAATGGCATTTTCAGGTCAGGGTTGAGACGTGTCCTCATTGCCCGCCCGCGGTGCGCCGTTTTGAACGGACGGCTCCTTATCAACACACGGTCTGTATAGCTTGGTTTCCGTCGCCGCCGGCCTCGCTTCTGTCCCGAATGGAGAGGAGCGCCGAGCGCATAGATTGGGATCCCGTCTTCTCTGTGCGGATACGCTGACCCGCCCGCTTCACTCTGCGCTGGCAGAGGGGCTGGGCCTGGCTCGAGGCTGCCGGAGCGGGGCCGGGGGCCAAGCGGGGGAGAGGGCAGGTGTGCTGGGGCGCTCGCTGGGCGGGCTGGCGGCTTCTGCGCCGCCGGGATTTGGGGAGGATTTTAGGGGGTTGAGGCGTATGCGGGGGCTCCCTCGCGGGGATTGTGGGATTCGGGGAGCGGTTCCTACGTTGGGGGGCGGGAGTCGGGGGCCCTGGCTCCCTGGCAGGGGCCTGGCTTGTGGGGTTGTGGAGGGCGGTTGCGGCTCCCTCGCGGGGGTTCTGGGATTCGGGGGGCGGCTCCTATGTTGGGGCGGGTTTGCTGGGGGCGGGTCTCTGGCTAGTGAGACTCGGAGTCAGGGGGACGGTTCCCTGGCCAGGGGTTGTGGGATTTGGAGGCCGCTCTCTGAGTGGAGGGGTTGTGGGGGGCTCCCTGGTTCGGGGTTGAGGGATTTGGGGGGTGGCTCCCTGCGTGGGGGATTTGGGGGATTCCCTGGAGGCCGTGGCAGTGCAGGAAACTAACCCACTAGGTTAGTGAGGTGGTGGTGGTTGTGTTACAACATAGTTACAGCTTGTAGCGTGCATGAGAGGGTAGCTGGACGTAGCACAACTCAAGTCCCAGGCTTTAGCTTGATTGCAGAATGTGGCTGGATTCATCAAAAGACTAATGGGGGAGGCTTTATTTCCTTCCAAATTTTAACAGTTATAAGTGTCATTCCTGTTTTGTTCTTTGTCTGTTGTTCAGTAATAGGTTTTCTTAATTACTGGTAGCAAATGTAGATAGAAATTGGCACACAAAGACACTATATGGATAATAGTACAACCAATATTTATCCATAACCAGTTATTTTACACATGTATATTTATAAAATAAAAGTCCCACTCTCACTACTTGACTTCTCACTTTGATATGCTTATCATGGTTGGAATTTGGAAAAGGAAAATATAATATGGATACTGTTCAAAATGTGTAGTTATGAAACTTTCTAGTATTTTTCTGTTCAATATGATTTGTAATATTTTAATCCTTTTGATAATTTACTTTAAAAAAATAGTTGTTCCAATCCTGCAATTTTATCCAAGCATATGGAGGCCTATGGATCCACTTTCAGGTCTCCGGGATCTATATTGTGCCATTGTTCAGTAAATAAAGATCTGACCATAAATCAGCATTTATTGACTTACATCTATTTAATCTTCAGAGTGCTTTCTTATGTAGGAGGTTATGTAAGATATCCTGTTACCTTTTTATGCATGTTTAATGCAAAATTTACAATGTTATACATACTGTATAAGGTGCAATTTATTAAGATTTTAAATTATTAGAAATACTAATATTTACAAAAGGAAATGATGAAATTTGGATCTTTTTCATTCACTTGAATGAAACACTTTTACTTTAAAACCAAAAATCTTGTTAAATCCATGTAGTTGGTGAGGTGAAAATATTGATTTTTTCCCTGTCTTCAGGTCATAATAATTGAAAGCCATATAATTAAGGGAAAAACTAGGCAAAATTGGGATTCGATAGCAATAGTCTTGTTGAAAACAAGGCTTCTTAAGTGAGTGAAGCTCACTTGTGAGAGTTGGAGTTTGCAGGATCAGACAAAACTTAGTGATAAAGCTGAATCCATGTTTTAACAAATAAGGAGACACCTGGATTTAAACTCAGGTATTTTGAGCTTGACTCTAGTAGAATCTTAGTCCTTTGTCAGTTATTGTGGCTTCATCCATATATTTGCTTACTGATAATGGTCCGAATCCTGCTCCCATTGAAGTCAAAGGGAGTTTTGTATTCCGTAAATTAAGTAAACTGTGTTGATTTTTTTTTTTAAACACTACTTGCTTGTATCTGTCAAATTTGGACTTTTACATATGCTAATCTCTGTGTTCTTAGCTAGTAATTCTTACCTGTTGGAACAGTGTGGTGAGCTAACACTGTTGAGTCCTCGGTATTCATAATTTTCTTTTGGCCAAAACAGTTATTTAGACAAATCTGTTTTATAGGAAACAAGTTGGGAAAAGGTTGATGTTGAATAATGTTATGAGACTTCTAACCACAGTTTGCAGTTTTAATTATATTTGTGGATTCTGTTGTACTCAGAATGCTGGTTCCCTTGGTACTGTGTGCAACTCTCATGATAGGAAGTGGTGAAATTCAAGGTGATGAATGGATTGAC